GGGGAGCGACGCCCTCCCCCGGGAGCGTCTTGTAACCACGTGACCCGACCTGACCCGACAGGAAGCAGAAAGCTTTTAAATTTCGTTTTCCACCACTCTGCAGACTTCTCCCGTCTTTTTATTTCCTTCCGCTCATTTTTCTTGCAGTACAGGGCGCCCCGGAACACTGTGCACGCAGACGGAATGCTGATGGAGCGCATGCGCCGTACCTCCCCTGACCGTGAATCCAATCAGCACCAAAACAGAGGGCCCCATGCCCTTCTTTTATTTGCAAGGAGGAGGGACGGCATCAGAATAAATCTGAGGCAGGAGACAAACGAGACGGCACAGGGTGATTCGCAAACTGCTTCATGTTGCAGGCCACAAGGACGAGGACGCGGCGGGCGGGGGTAAAGGCGGCCACCCGAGCGGAAGCCTCACCAAGAAACAAAGAAAGGCGCGGACTGCGTTCACGGACCACCAGCTCCAAACCCTGGAGAAGAGCTTCGAGCGCCAGAAGTACCTGAGTGTGCAGGACAGGATGGAGTTGGCGGCCAAGCTGAGCCTTACGGACACACAGGTCAAGACGTGGTACCAGAACCGCAGGTGAGTGACATTGCGACTCTGAGGACTGAACCCGGAGATCAGCGAGCGACGCCGAGTTTCTAGAAGTATGCCTCATCAGAAATTCAAATATCAAAATGGTTAATTTTGAACTGTCTACAAGATAATTGTTATCGTTGGCTTGAAATAAGAGACGAATGGCCTTTAAAAGTCTCCACATAATTGAAATGCCCTGCTTCCTGGAGTTGAGAAAAACCAACTGGATAATGCAAGAAGTTCGTGCCGATGCTTATCAGAGGGGCCAAAGAGAGAGGAAACCGCTGCGCCCCAAAAGCAGAGTTTTCAACATTTCGAGCGTCATTACCCCTCCTTATCGCGGCCGACTGGAAGCCGTTAATGACTTCCGATGTGGAGCTTTTCAATTGCTGGGCACTACTGTGCATAGAAATTACGGACAATCACGCGAACCAATTGTTAGCATTAGCAAAATGCGGGCCGGCCGGAATGGCGGTCCTCGCGATACAAATCATCGATACGTGTAATTAAGGGCGCACCTCGTGGCGGGTTCACACTGAAGACTTATTTCCAAACTTAAGACGAAGTGTTTCTTGGTTCGCTGTTGCGTCGTTTTCACGGCGTTGCACCAAGTGGTCGTGTTCCAGGTCTTTGAAAACGCCATTACCCTGGGTTTCAGTAGTGCTGAGGTGTGCAGGAGAACGTTAGTGGTTTCGGTGAATGTGGAAAACGGGATTAATCTTTCGGAGTACTTTCTGGATCGGGGTGCCATGAGTATCAGTTCTCAGTTACGCCTGTCGGGTACGGTCTGCCGCTTGTTTGCGTCAATTTATGTTTTCCGTCGATGTTAGTTTTGTGGACTTGGAGGTAGACGCGTCTGCCAACGACGATAACTGTCCTTTGGGATGTTGCGCCGCGCAGTCTCGTAGAGATGCTTACTGCCTCCGTCATCAGGGATATTAGTTTAAGGCAGTAAGCACCTCTGAAACGTCGGTAGTTTTCGACAAAACTTTACGGCGCACAGATCAGAGTTTTTTGCCCTACGTCGAACCCTCACGCTACATTACCACCCAGTCACCTTCCATGTATGGAGACAGTTCGTGAACTCGATTAGACGGCAGATCGTGTATCTTACACACAAACTCTTTCGTCTCCTCTCAATCTTAGGGCCTATGTTAGTCAATTGTGCAAAAGAGTTCTATGTGCATTGCTATTTCGTTGCCTGGCAACCGTTTAGTTCGTAAAGAAATCGTTATGAGGTTCAGCGGCGGAAACTAATAGAACAGTGGTCAACGGGAATATTTGTGTAGACACCATAATAGACCCTAATTAATAAACAGTGTTAATTACTGCGGTAGACAGTTTTTAATTGTAACTCCACGCTTACACGGTTGATCGCCCGAGAAAATTAATTGCATTCAGCCCCCGTGAAAACTTAATTTGAATTATATTTATTCGTGATTACGATAGGATGACAAAAGGACAATACATTTTAAGGGAAGGAAGCTGTCGTAGCCAAATTTAAGATTCACTCTTGGCATTTGCCTGGAAGGACTGAGGGAAACCACGAAAGACACGAGCCAGGATAGTCGATCTTAGGGCCGGTATCTAAACCCGAGACCTGCCGAATACGAAAGAGAAGTGCTAACCACTGGGCAGTGTCGTTCGGCGTGAAAGCTTCAGATCTGTATGGGCCTATTTTATATGATACAGGAGGAGATTGTTGTTATGAATTATGAATTGGGGAAAGGGTCGTATCCTATTTTGTGCCATTGCCAAGCATTTAACTGAAAAAATCACACAAAGAAAGCCTCATTCAATAGGTTGGATTTCGGATCGGAATTCTGACTGAAGCAGGAGGACTCGCCACTCACTATAATCTGTAAGCCTACTGACACGAGGCCTGTCTCGCAGGTTCAGGCCTGCATCCAGTCTCCACTCCGGACAAGTCAGCCCCTCTCATTTACATGTATGCGATATCAATGCATTCAATTTCCTGTGTCAAATGTGAGTCCTATTGTTGTCCGCCAGGAAGCGCACTGGTTCAGTTTCGAAAACACAAACAAAAGTTATTATTATTATATATACCAGCATTTTTTTGTTGTCACAAAACTGAGAATCAAATATTATTTAGAGACTTCCGTTGCATGATTGCAATGATGTGGATTCTATTAATCACGGTTAAGTTGCGGGCATGCGAAGTTTGGTTAGGATTTGCCGCAGTTCATCGTGTTCCGGTCTAATATGCTAAACTGCCGCGTGATGGCGCGATAAGCCTCTCCACTTTGGGGAACAACTCCGATTGCTTTAAATAATGCATGAGTTTACAGTCCACGCCAGTAACAATATACCACGCTACTTCTACGGGGTACGTGAGCCTGTAAGTTAGGCCTTGCGCAAAGCAAAATGCACAAATAGTCCTGACAGTTCTCCATTCTTTCGGAGTCACAGGATACTCGATTCGATCGTCGATGAAATTGTCATTCTTACAGTAAGCTTATGTTTCTTTCTTAAGTTATAACTGTCATTTTATTCTTCACAAGTTACCTTGCATTATCAGCAGTGAAAGTAGCGTTCATTTATTATCAAAGGCCTTACTCTTGAGCCGAAGCGGGTTTAAATGTGAGTGATAACAAAGTAGACGTCAGACTGAAAGCCCCGCTTGTTACATAATTTAATCGTTATTTTATCTTACTTATTTTGGTTCGTTTAGCTCAATTAGCAGTAACTAGAAAGTTCAGGATTCAACATTTCTTGACTGCAAGGAATATTTCTCACGGATATTTTAGACGCCAAAGAAGCTCGGCTATTTCAGTAACCAACATTGGGAATTAACTCCTCATGTAGGCTGACCAACTACTCTTCAAAATTAGCTTACGTGCGTTCATTTCTTACTGACAAGTCTAATTGTCCATCAGTTGCCTAGATTTACATATTAAAGGCGTATTTATAAGGAAATGTGTTGCCTTCCAGCATGTACCATTTTATTAGTCGTTGCCCTTTTGAAACAGGATATTTAAATCGTCCTGATGATGGAGGCAGCAAACGCCACTGAAACGTCGGTAAATTGCCACACACACCCATCGTCATTCTCGCCGCCGTGATACCCTGAAATCTATCCATAAAATGTACGAATGTTTCTTGGCTAGTTAAACTGCTATCAGCTTCTCAATGATTCTGCTCCATGGACAGAGTACTCGCGTACGGGTATGAATAACAGCACCACAAAACGAGTCCTGTGTCTCGATACAATGGAGAGGGGTGTCCGTGGGAATGTGGGGTGGGGACTACACCCCAGGGCGCAGTGGCCTAGAAGTAATCGCCATTCAAAGCGCGCGGCAATTTGTCATGCGTCTGCAATAAATGTCGCGAGGCAATGAATAGTTTCACGGTACAAACACCACACCAAGTTTCGTCAAAATCCAGCCCGGAGTCTAGGCTAGGTGCTCGATTTTACGCTCCATTTCACGACTGAGCAATTAAAAGGATACAGGTAGAATTTGGGGGGGGGGGACATTCGGCAAAAGCCCCTTGAAGCCTGACAGGTTCAATTTTTAAATTGATGGTTTAAGACCTACAGGTTATAAGAAAGCTCAGCAGCCTTAGATTAAATTTAAATAATATTTTAATAAAAACGACTAAATAGCACAGGCTTTCTTGTTATAGGCCACTGCATATTATTGAGTCGATGTTGTTCTTATGGGTAGTAGAAACGCCACAGTTCAGAAGAGAGAATCTCAAAGTTCGCTCCTCCTTTCAGGACCAAGTGGAAGCGGCAGACGGCCGTGGGTCTCGAGCTGCTGGCCGAAGCCGGCAACTACGCCGCTTTCCAGCGCCTGTACGGCGGTCCTCCCTACGGCTGCTGGCCG